GAGGCTCCCTTGGGTCTCCAGGACGCTCCTTTTTGCTAACTCGCATCAGTGGCCAAAACTTACATGCTTTGTTGTTTGAATGATCATTTTGCAAGCCACACGAGGTTGGGGGAGGTGGTCACACCACAGATACCTTAGCTAATTTAGCCACTGTCACCTGCAGACACAGCCATGGTTTTCCTTTGCTGCTGAGGAATGACCCCTTTCGGGGAAAGGAAGACAGACTCTGCGTCACTGTCAATCCACACAGCTCCTTTTCATTCCAACCTGATTGCCCAGTCCACCTGTCTCCCTGCCTCAGTTTCCTGAGATCAGCCACCCTCTTAGGAATGACCCCTTTCGGGGAAAGGAAGACAGACTCTGCGTCACTGTCAATCCACACAGCTCTTTTTCATTCCAACCTGATTGCCCAGTCCACCTGTCTCCCTGCCTCAGTTTCCTGAGATCAGCCACCCTCTTGTGTGTCTCCTGTATCCCAGTGCACCAAACACCTGGCCCCTGCAACTCCCAGGAGCGTGCCTAGACATGTATGTTCATGTTTTAGATTATTTTAAAAGTTAAGCTATGTAGATATAGGTGGAGAAACTGACCTCAAAAGCCTAATATTTAGTCTCACAATAGCTGTGATGGATGGATAACACATCTCACACTTTTTTCTTTTCTTTTCTGCCTCAACATTTATTCCCAAACTCCCATTTTTATCACTGAAATTCTCCGACTTTAATGAACTTCTTTTGGTAAAATCTTCTATATTTTATCAGCCCCTGGCAGAAAAAGAATCTCTGAGCCTAAAGGAAGAAGAGTTCCACCGACTACCAGGCCAGAACATTGGGCCCTCTGGGACGTTGGATTCCTACAACCAATCCAATCCAAACTGACCTTTTAAATTGGGAGTGATGGAGTCAACTCTGCAGCATCTGTTCCTTGTCCACCATTCCTTCCATCTCTAAGTGTGTCTAAAAAGTGTATCTGCCTTTCACTCTGCTCACAATGCACTTACTGGAAACAGCCAGCTTCGGTCTCGCTGCCAGCTTGCCAGACACAATTGAATTGGAGCAGGAAATTGCAGGCCTAAAGCCCAGGCTAAAGCTTCAGGAGTCCTGCCCCAGCAAACAAGTCACAAGTGAAGGAGGGAAATGGTTTTTAATAGTGAAACCAATCAAGCTGCATGGGTAGGAGGCAGGGGAAGGCAGGCCAGACCCTGCCTGTCCTTCCTCCCATGCTTCAGCCCCAGAAGAGGCTCATGAAACATAGTTTGAAAGCCACTGGTGGAAGACAGTAATCACTACAGTAGGCCTCCTATAGCAAAACGAGCAGATAAATGCACAGGGTCAATTTACAGCTAATATTTTGCATTGTTAACAAAGTATTAACTTTATCCAAATCACCAAAAAAGCTACTTACATAAACTCCTTCAGGAATTTTGAAATAAAATTAATTTCAGAAAAATTCAATAGTTCTCCCCCCAGAATAATAAATACAAATAATCTGCACCTGTGGTTACATTCAGGCTGTGAAATGGAGGACCTCATTCTTCCGCCCAAGTGGGCAGAACCCTGAATGAAGGTTCTGGGTCCAAAAGCCCACCCAGCCAACCCCATGGGGATGGTAAGAAGAAGGACTGTCAGCTTCTGGACAATCTGGTAAACCTCCTGCACAAGCAGGCCTGAGGGCAGGCTACCCCCAGTGTGACCAGACTGTGCTCCCAGCCTCAGCAACACTGACCCAGTCAGCCCTGCCTGGGGCTAACAAACACGTGTCTTGAGTCTCCAAGCACTCAAGTGATCTGCTTTCTCCAAGCCCCGGGAAGAAGGTGGAAGAGCCCTGTAAGTCTTGGCTGGAGCCAACTACTAACACCAAGCTTCAGGTACTTTGATGTAGAGAAAGCATCACCAGAGACAGAAACTTAGTCCATACAATTCCTACCCCCATCCCAGCCATTTCCCCATCTCCCTGCTCATCTGTGCAGAAAAGGGCTCCCAGCTCCAGGTAGGTGCTCTGGAAGACAGCTTTCAACCCCAGATATGACAGACGATGGCCTGTGGCCACAGAGGACTGTGACTGCTGAGTAGTCTTCATTTAGGAAAGCAGCCGGGAGTTGGCTTTGTGCAGTCACATCTACTTGTTTTCTGTTGACCAATAACCTGTGAACTGAAGGAGAAACTGAGATTCGAAAGATTCATTCTGGATATATTTTTCTACAAGGGGGTTAAAGTGTGTAGTTGACTCATTTTTGACAGTGTGTTTGATTCAGATACCACGGACACAGAACCATCTTCACTAGCAAATCCCACAACACTCTCTCCCCACCCTCCTCTCCAGAAGCAAGCCTCCAGGGGAGCTGGCGCCGCTCCCACCGCCCTCCTGTGCATCCACAGCCTACCTCGCACTCTCCTCCCCCACACCCAGCACCCCAAGCCAGGAGGCCAGAAGGTGATGCAGGAGGATCGCAGTGCTGATGCCAGGTCCTCCTCCAGCTTCCCCCATCCAGGACCCCAGATCCCACTCCAAGTGCAGTCAGAACCTACTGGGACACAGCCCCCTGCTGCCCAGAATCACACTCCCCAAACCCTAGCTCCCAGATCCATGGGGTTAGGTGACCAACTAGAGAGAGCTCACTCAGTAGTGTCAGGGAAGTTGGACACTGTGCAGCAGGAATAGAGAGACCAGGCCATCTCAGCCAAGCCTCTTCTCTTGGAGGGCCCAAGCTCTCCAACCTCCCTCGGTCCCCATTTCATGCTCTTCCTTTCCTGTTCCCTTCCTGCATCTCAGGCCCCCTGCGAATGAGCCATGCCCCAACAGTTCCTACCATTCAAGGAGCAACCCACCTCCCCACTACACCAACCCCTGATGGCCTTTGCCTATGCTGCTTTCTTGCTTTGGGGTACAAGTGAGAAGTCACTCATAGGCCAGATGCTACTATTTGCCCCTAGACTGGCATGTAGGCAAAGCAGTTTTGTTCAAGAAAGTCACTAGCTGCCTTGGTTTCTCTCAAAATCACAGAGATCATAAAACAGATGCTTAAAAGATTCAATGAGGGAAAAAATACAGTGTTGCTGGCCAGTTAGCTCAGTTGTTTAGAGCACAGCCTTGTAACACCAACGTCATGGGTTCAGATCCTCATATGGGCCAACCATAAAAAAATATATATATAGTGCCTATCTTCAGGGCATGCCTACATGACCCCAAATAGCTAATGGAATGCAACCCACTTCCTGCTTTAGTCTACACCAGATTACCTGCCAAGTCACTTAAGGATTTGGGCATCTTATCTGAGCCTGCAGGCTTTAGGCCTCAGCTCCCAACAGACACTCAAGAGACAAGTAAGCATTGTCTTATGTATCCATATCCTCCTTTGGAGCTTTGGGCAGCAAGTAGGGAAGCCTAACTTAACCAAACACAATGTGTGAAATTATGGAAAATATGGGAACAGTGGGGATTAGCTTCCAAAATTCAAAGCAAGCCTTCTCTAGCCAGCAGAAGTTTCAGCATGTACTTTGTGGTTTTTTTTTCCCTATAGAGCCACAATTCACACACCCTTCTTCCAAGCTCACCTTTACGGATATGGGACCATCCCTTTCCCACAAGCCCTAGAGGACTTTAGAGGGCTCGGCCACACTCCACAAAGCAATAACTATTGACTCATCCCTACACCAAGCCTGGTGACAGGTGGCTGTCCACATGCCACCGTAGCAGGATCAGAGAATGCTGCCCTTTGGAGGCACCCTCTTCATGATCAGAGCTTTGTTTCTGAGTAAAGGCAGCCAGCATTCGCTGGTTGTGAGGCCCAAGACTCTAAAATGAGAAAATTCCCTAAATCTAAACCAACCTTCATCCACCTCCCATGATGAC